GGAATCCTTAACAAGGGCGTACCGTTTTAGGAATTTAGCATTGAGACGTAAACTAGGGCAATAACTGTACCCATTGTTTAAATGTTATTTGAACAATATTTATCTAGAAAATATAGTGCAAAACGTTTATTGATATCAAAAAAGCCATCTACCGGGTCGGTTTTTCCATCCCTTCTAAAATATTTTTTTAAATCAAAGTCAAATGATTAAAAAATATCTGATGGTAGTTATAATAAAGTTGAAAATAAATTTGTTGAAGAATTAAATATTATTTTGTATCTCAGAACTCAATGATGCTTAAAATTTACTATTTTAATTTTCCAGTTCCACCTATGCTGTGGATTCCTCATCAATTGGTTGGAGCGCCATTGGCTTATTCAGTTACATTGGAATGTTACACTGAAGCTCATCCCAGTTCATTAAACTATTGGACTAGAGAAGACGGTCAAATGATTCATGAATCGCGAAAGTACCATGCGGAAAATTTAATTGGTAGGATGGAATGGTTAAATAAACTTATAATTGATAAACATTTTTGGACCAGGTTCACCAACCTACAAAACTCATATGACTCTTACAATCAACAACATTCAGGAGAGCGACTATGGTACCTACAAATGTGTGGCGAAAAATCCTAGAGGCGAAACTGACGGGACTATAAGATTATACAGTGAGTATGCACGATACAATTAAAATTTAAGCAATTATTGGGCTGATCCACTGTGGTCTGAAGCAGAAGTTGCTCTAGTAGCGAATTGTGATTATATTTTTATGTACTATGGGTAGACCGGAATAGGTTTGATTTTACAAAATTCAATGCCAAACGAGCACATGAAATTGGATGGTATATGTGAAAATTTTTAATCATAATAAATACGATAATGCGGAAAAACAACATTTATTCTTTGGACAATGTCAGACGTGTTTAACATGCCTGTGAAGCCGCGAATTTATTACAATATTTCTTATTTACAGGATGTTTCATTCTCCATCGTTAAAATATTAAATTCGTCCTTCTGTCAATTTCATTTAAAATTCTTCAACTACGGAAATATGAAATAAGGTTTCTTTCTATGTCGTGCAAAAATCAATCTTTTCATATCCTCTTTGAACTGGTCAGAATGACTGTTTAAACCTACAGATTTGATCTGCAGGTGAAGACGTTTCGTAAAAACACATTTCTACGTAAGAATAGTTCTCTAGATCCCAATTGATTCCAGATTCGTCCAAATTAACCCGAACTAATTTCCGAACATAAAAATTATGTAGTGCGTAGATTATGTAGATTAATGTAACAGAATACACAAGCAAAGAACAGCTGCAGTTATTTGCTATAAATCACAGTAATTTGCAAAATGATGCAATCATACTGGATTGTTTTTCAATTACAATTTGTGTTTATTTATGCTCCCTTTTAACAACTCTACTTCTGTAGACTAATAATATATTTCTGAATTTTTTACATTAATTCTCCAATCTAATGCGAATATTTTGCTTATTTAACACATACCATAATAAAAAAAATCCTTTTTGAATATGCAACAATTAAAGCACGGAGGTACGATTAATGCAAAGTCGAAAATTACCACATGAAATATTTTATTCAAAGAGACTAAAATAATACACATGCTCATCTATGCCGAGATATTCAAAGGATTAGTCGTAGTGGTAAATGCTCTTTAGCTTGAAGCTAGTGTCTGGGTCTCAGCTAAGAAGCTTCTTGCCTGTGACATCTATAACAACGTTCTAAGGCCCAATTCACGCCGTTTTCGAGTGTTATGTAAAGTTTGATGTCGCATCTGAAATGCTGCAAGCTATATTTAGACTAATGCATATTTGAAGATAATATGACAATCATTTAGCTGTGTAATGCCAAACTTCAGCTTGGAAAGTACATGAAGTGCATATTGACTGAATCTAAAAGATTTACTTTATATGATTAGAAAAATATTAATCTAACTAATTCTGTTAAAGAACACTCGTCTTTTTGAAGTGGAAGCATGGAAAGAGACGAATCTCAAATGTAAAAAGGAAACGAAAAGTTTTATTTATAAGACTTATATTCCTTGGTATTTTGTAGAGGGAAGTTTCTTAAGTGGATAAAAACTACCTTAGCCATCGGCAAACAAACAGTCTTTCGACTTTTAAGGCAACTAAAATTCATAAGATATGAAATACTGCTGCACATCTGTTCAGCTTATTGTTGTATACAACTTTTCTTCGCGAATTACTTTTCTTTCCGACTGATATCAGATATATTTACGACACACTGCTTGCCAGAATTATCTATTTTTATAGCAGATTGCTTTATAAATATATGACTTATTGTTTAAGAAGCTACTTTATGGATTTCGGAAGCAAACAATACTTTATTGGTTTCTTAATTTGAAAGTTTTTTTGAATTGATCAAAATGTAAATAAACAGCATTAAATGCTTGTTATTTTCTGTTAAATAAATTCGAATTTATAAAAAAAAAGTACAATTTCTGTGATGTCAAAAAGCGGTGAAAATTATCCATTTTATCCCGTAAATTGATATAGAAGCCTCACATGACATTCGTTCTGAATTAGCGTTCTTACCAATATCACTGCTTTCCTGTTTCAAATAATAAAATTGAGGGGAAATCTGTTACCGTTATATTCAACATATTTAATTCCATGGAAGACTTACGAACTTTTAAAAATTTACTTTTTGAACGACTAGAATGATCATTTTCAAATATATAAAACCAAAATGCATTTACGTTTAATAATAGTATGTTTTGAATATAAAATGATGTGTTTCAAGATTACCTTAATGATTCTTGTTGGAAAACGGAGTCAAAAATCTGCTAAGTTTTTATTTTAAGAATTTTTTTTTATTTATCATAGAATGTACCTAAATCAGTATTTAGAATCTGTAAACTTTGGTACTTCTGGTGGATCTGTTAGAAGCATGCAGAACGACCTAATTGAAGTAAAATGTGTGAAAAATAAAGAACATGACATAAAAATATTTAAAAAAACTGCACTGGAGAAAGATATCCGTAAACCTGAGCGAACCGCAGTTGATAAATCAAATATAAGATAAATCTGAAAACGTTTTCAATATATTTCGGGGAAACCTTACGTAGGTATTCCTTCCCTACGTAAGGGGACCCTAACAAATTCGGAAATCTTACGTAGGTATTCCTTCCCTTGCAAGCCTGAGCTTTTTTATATTTTTTTGAACGTCGCTTCATAATATAACATTGTAAGTTTTTATACGCCTTTTTTTGCTTACAAGGCCCGTGATTTGCGTATTTCATTTAGTCCTAAAATAGCTTAAATATATTGTCAATTTCGATATTACGTTCCAAGTGAACAAAAAAACAACAGAGTCTTTTGTTTAGGGGCTGATAAAGTGAGCAGAAGGAAAAACGCAAGTAACATTGAAATCGGCTGATTTGCATTGTCAAAAACTTTTTCATTTGCGAACATTTTAACTGCCATTTCTTACAAAAGACCGGCTGAAAATGGTTTCCATTGTACTTCTCTCGTCATTGAAATATTGAGTATGGATACAGTGGCACAGTCAAATCAATACCAAGTTTTAGCATTTGTTATTTTATGTTTTACATAGTATGTAATATGTTATTAGCGTTACTCTGGAAGTCGATATGCAAGATCAAAGGTTTAAAGCGGAAATCTTGGGACTATCGTGCTCTTTTGCGTATGGTAGAAGCTAAATCAGATTTTCTTCGTTTTAGTTAGGCTGGTGTCTGGAAAAAGAGTTTGGAACCTGGTTTAAGGATTTAGGATTTCAATATGGAATAGTCTCAAATTAAAAAGGTATGAGTTATCTAAAGAAATTTTAATTTCAAAAATGGACCATATTTTTAAATACAAATATGTGTTAAAATTTATAATTAAAGGGTGATTAGCAGATACATGGATGAAAAGACACAAAAATTGTGTATTTCGCTAATGTTCAGACGATGTGAAGGTACGGAATAATTTTCTGGGGTAAAAAAAGTAGTCAATTTCAAAAGCTAATTGTGATTCAGAAACGTGTTCTTAGTTAGATCAATGAAGCAAATGAGCTTTCAGTACAGTTGTAAGGGAATTTTTAGGACTAAGAGTATTTTATTGTATTTGCTCTATATATTTATGAAGCATTAGTGCTATTTTTTGAAAACAGAGACCGTTTTGAATCGCATTTTTTTCATTTTTATACTTACCATACAAGAACATGGAGTGTGGAATTCCCAGCACATCGATTGACGCGTATAGAAGCGATAGACGCTTAAGCGTCAATCGATGTAGAAGAATCCCTACATCTTTATAGAAGAGTGTTTATTACATGTGGATCAGGTTGTTTAACCAAACTTGCCGAAAGGTTTTAAGGTTATCACATCCCAAACGTTATACAAACGCTAAGTCTGAAACCTTACTTCGTTAACAACGTTTTCGAAAAATTGATAAAATAATATTGTTGCTTGAGCTAAGGGATTTTTGCTATGAAAATTCATGAAATAAAAGCTGATATTTTATCAACTAAACTATTGCAAGAGAAATTTCCAGGACGCGAAATTTCGAGATTGAGTAATGTCAGTTGGCCCGCAAGATCCTGCGATTGAACATTTCGTTAGATTTCTTTCTGTGGGGCTTTGCGAAAGATCGTGTTTAGGCCAACAATCCTCAAACTCTTGAGCAACTGAAAGCCAATATCCGTGAAGTTGTGACCGAGATATTACCGGTAATGTGCCGAAAAGAAATTCAAAATTACCTCAAAAGGATTGAGGCCTGTAGGAGGTCCCGTGGAGGACATTTAAATGATATTGTTTTTCACGTATAATGGCAAGGTTTAATGTTTATATCGAATTAAAATTTTCGTCTCCATCTGAATATTTTGGGTTTATTTTACTTTATTTTCCCAAGCATAAAATGTATAACCCTGTATTAGTTTGGGAAAATGACTTATCAACATTTTGAAAATGATTTATGATTGCAAAAAACTGTTGTATATACAGGGTTGCTCATTAGTGCGTCAAAGTGCGATATCTCAGTAAATATGAAGTTTACAAGAAAATTCGTCCAACAAAAGTTTTTCACGTT